CTGTTGTATCCGCCGAAAAACTAAAAAATAAATATTAAGAATTCTCTCTCTCTCTCTCTCTCTCTCTCTCTCTCTCTCTCTCTCTTAAAAAAAAAAAAAGTGAGGCACTAAGCAACTCAGTGAGTCCCTGTCTCTAATAAAAAAAAAACAACAACAACAACAAAAAATAGGGCTCAGGGTGTAGCTCAGTGGTCAAGTGCCCCTGTGTTCAATCCCTGGTAACTCACCCCCAAAAAAAGAACCGTGAACCTGTGTCCCTGAGCCCCAATGCACAACCCACGAAGAAACAGACCTCCAAGAAGCCCCAATCCAGGCCTGCTGTAGGGATCTCCCTGAATGTCCTGACGCTGGGTGATCTTGATGCTCCACTTGGACACTTGAACACCTCAAGACAAGAGATGCCCACCAGGCCCAAAGACACGGGGTCGTCGGGAGACCATCCAATGCTGTGGAAATTACAGCTCTACTTCCCTGCATCATGGGCTCCCTGTGTCCCCTCAAAATTTATGTGTTGCGTTCTAACCCCCACTACCACAAAAATGTGACCTCACTTGGAAATTGAGTCATTGCAGATGTAATTAGCTTATTAGGAGGAGGTCACACTGGAAAAGGTAGGGCCCTTAATTCAATACAACTGGTGTCCTTCTAAGAACAAGTGTAGGGACAGTCTAGGCGATTTGGCCATGTGGCACCTGGGAGGGCACCATGTGAAGAGACACAGGAGAAACCAGAGATAGGCCTGGGACAGACCCTCCCCTCACAGCCTCAGAAAGTGCCAGCAGACACCTCAGTTCAGACTTGAGAGCTGCGGAACAGTGGGACAATGATTTTCTGTTGTTTAAGGCACTGAGACTGCGGTTCTTTGTTACCGCAGCTGTTGCAAACTGATACACCCTCAACCTGGGTTGGGTGCCAACTCGGCCCTTCACTGGTTGTTTGATTTGACAAGCCCCCACCCCTCTCTGAACCTTGCTTTGTTCACATTATCCCCAGAACACGTCTTGGCATACAATAGGTGCTCCATAAATGCTCTTGGAAGGATGAACACATGATGATATCCCTCTGTCACATGGCTGTGATAAGGACAAGATCAAGGAAGGGCTATGCTCCAAAAATACTAAAGCCCTCCACACCTGTGGTGACAGCCGATCAACAGCCACACACACAGGGGCCACAGCCAGGTCCTGGGTGTAAGGGGTGTCTCTGCGTCCCTGCCCTGCTCCATGAAGTTACATCTTTAAAGGGACACTAGGAAAGAACGGGCAACAAAACACACCGAGGGGGCTCCCAGCGGACAGAGGTGGCAGCAGGTGAGGTCTGCGCCCATCAACTAGGACACTGCCTGAGGCCCCGACTGCTGCTGGGCCCTGGAGTGGGAAAGGGGAGCTCCCAGATGCCAGCTGCACCTCTGCCCCATAAGGCCTAGATCCTTCCGTGGGCTTCAGGGAGGCAGATTCAGCTCTGTCGGCAGAGGAAAGAGCCACGGCAAGCCACCTCCAAGGCACGGGCTGCCCGGAGGAAAGTGAGGCCCCGTCCCTGCAGGTATGCACATAGAGGTCAGAGGCCCATTCCCAGGGACACCTGCACTCCCCTGGCATGAACTTGATTTGGGCTAAGGAATCCCATCCTTGCTGACCATCACAAAGTGACTGTGGGACTCGTTAATCATTCAGATTCCTGGATCCCCACCCCAACAGGCCTGACGCTCTGGATGAGGAGGTCTGAGTGGCCCCAGAAGACCCCTGTCTCTGATAACATCCCAACCCCCAGAGTTCCATGGTTTGAATGGGATTCCACTTGGGGAGAGCCCTGACATCGACACGTCAGACAGGACAGGACAGGAGAGGGACAGGAGGACGAGGAGGGAAAAGGCGAAGACGAGTTGAGATGACACTGATGAGCTGCAGTCATGACAGGACAGCTAGCCACACGCCACCGGACGCGGAAATGCCAGGGGAAGGTACTGACAGTCACTCGAAGGGGCCAGGGAGGTGGGGGAGTCGGGAAGGGGCACTGGAAGAGGCAGGATTTGAAAACAGCATTCTAGATGGTGGAGATGGGAGATGAGACTGAGCCGGGGGCGGGGGGAAGAGGAGTCACCTGATGGAAAGAAGGGGAGCAGAAACAGTGGACTTGAGCCAGATGGGGGAAAACCTTAAATCACCAGGACAAGGAGTTTGGAATTCAATCCTTAGACAATAAGGAGCCATGGTAGGTCCCTGAGGAGGAGCATGACTGAATCAATCGGCAGAGGAGCTCCTGACCACCGATCCATGACCAATGTCACAGAAGCGCAATGGCAACCTTCAGGCCATGGGAGAAATAGCAGGGAGGGTGAGCTAGCAGCAGTTTCTCAGGCTAGTAGATCCTCACGGGCAAGGCTGGAGTAACAGGCCCGCCCATGGGCAGGGAGCGCCCACCGATGGACCACCCTAAGCAATGAGCCCCAGCGTCCTTCTCTACTGACCCCGTCCAGGGAAGAGACTCAAAAAGCCCTGCAGATGCCGGCGACTTCCACACCTGCACAGGCAGCTGCTCCTTTCCCTCAGCGCGGCCTGTCTGCCTGTCTGTCTGCCTGTCTGTCTGTCTCCACACACACATCTGTACATCCTCGTGTGGACTCCAGCACCTCAAACACTTGCAGACAGGAGTCCTGCTTTCCCCCTCCAGGCCCACCAAGTCCCACAGCCCATCCTTCAGCTGCCCCTTCAAAGGACCCTCACTCGAGCCCTATCCCAACCCCGCTCCCAGCCCAGGGTGAACGCAGCTGGGGCCAGCAGATGTACACAGGGGAGGGGCCCCTGCTCCCCTCAGCTCAGGGAATTCTGCCAGAGATAACATGCCAGCCCCAGCCTTCTCCTGTGGCCCTCTGGGTCCCCATCACAGGCCACCCGCCATGGGGGATGAAGGAGAGGCCTATGTGACCAGTGCGAGACCGGGCGTGTGCGTCCTTCCTACAAAGAGACCTGCGCAGGGCTGAGAGCAGAGGGCCCTGATGTGGACACCACTGGTCCTGCTCTGGAGTAGGAGCACCCAGCCTGCCTGCCCTTCCCCCGCCACGAACCTGCCCCTCCCCTTCAAACACAGGAGCACTGACAGAGGGGACAAGGGAGTCAGGGGATGGCAAGAAAAACCCAGGCCTCTCCCAGAGCTTGGCTAAGCCAGGACTCAGCTCCAGCTCCGCACAGCCTCCACGGCTCCCGCTGGCCCGCCAGGCCCCCTCCTGGGTCATTACACCCAAACACAACTCCCCTGCCGCTGTGGCTTTGCTTAGACGGGGCCCGACCCCAATCTCAAGCCTAGTCCGCCCATCATACCCTCCATGCGCCCCTGTTCAGTCAGGCAATATTTATAATGACAAAACACTGGGAACCATCAAAATACACAAGGGAGAAGATGTGGATTCGCCGTGGCTCGCCTGGGCTGGAACACTATGCTGCCATTAACAATCCCATTACAGAAGAGTAGTTAATGACGGGAAAACGATCTTGGTACAGAATTAAATGCAGAAGGCAGGTTAGGAAACAGTAAGGACAGCTTGATCCCAATTATGTCATAAATACATATTTTGTAAAAGACTGACGGGCAAAACACCCGAGTGCTCAGATTTCTCTATAGAGAACATATTTTATAACCAGAAAAATAGAATGTTTGAAAAGAACCCTACAGGCCTCGAGGCTCAGCCCAGGTGTCGCCTGTTGTAACAAGCCTGCCAGCAGCCCCGCTGAGAGGCACACCCGCCCTGCCTCAGTTCCCCTGCTGGCTCCCTGCACTGAGCGTCCTCAGGTCCTGCACTGCCTGCTGGGCAGAGGCCAAGGTGAGCCACCCTGGCCGCCTCATTCTTCCCTATCCACGTCTTCTCGCCATCTCCCAACAGCAATTACACGTTAAACTGGAGGGGCCAATTAGCAGCTCAATCTACCCAAGACCAACTAATTAGCAGGAATATTTTGATGGACATAAGTGGACCTCAGAGCAAGGCCCAGTGCCCAGGAAGGAGATGCAGGCATCTGCTCCCACCGTGCCCACCAGCTCCCAGGCAGAGGAAGGGCCGGCTGAGCCTCCGCCACACACTGTCACCCAGTGCCTCCGGAGGAGGAGGCCAAGGCCGGTGGCCCCGTTGAGCATTGTGGGTAACATGGCAGTCCAGCGGCCGCCCCACGCCTTCCCCACCACTCCTGCTGCTTAACAAACTCAGGCTGCAGCTGCCTCGTGAATCCAGGAAGCCAAGAACAGGGAACTGGCTCAGGGTTAAGGTGACTTGTCTAAAGTCACAAGCAAAACAGGGGTCAAGCCTGGCAACAGCTCAGGTCCCCCTCCTTGCCCATCTCCTACCTCGAAACAACACGCTGTAGCTTCCTGTATCCCCTCACGTGGGACATGGAGTGGGAGGGCCTGTCACCTCCCACATTCTGAGTGCCTTTCTCCTCATGATATAGACAAAAAGTCCGTCTGCTCTGATCACACAAAGCCAAGGTCACCTGGCTGCCAGTGCTTATTACACACACACCTGGAGTCTGAGCCTCATCCTGCCCTGAAGGTGTCTAGACCCGCCACTGACTGGACCCATTACGCTGCACCCCGGGAGCTGGTGCCAGCCTCCTGACAGTTTCTTGGACCCTGAATATCTCAGCCCACACGCCCCACTTCCTCCTGACCCAGAGTCAAACATACATTTGGTCAATGTGACAGGACCAACGATGTGACGAGTCCTTCACTTGTCATTAGAGACCTCCCTCGCCGCATGGGAACTTATTAGCGAGCTTGTTGGTGAAACCACGTCTCTGGGAAGAATGCCCCGGGGCCTCCGAGCGGCTGCTGAGCCTTGCCACACAGAGGCTGGGCAGGTGGCACCCTCCTATCCAAGCTCCTGGACTTGACTGCATTTGGGGGAGATGGGAACCTCCAGAAAGAAGGTCGTGAGACAGCCTCCCCTCGAGACCCCAGCCCAGAAGGCTCCTCCACCCCCACTCTGCCCGTGGCCCAGAGTGGCCTCTTACCTCAGGCTGAGCAGAGTCCAGTGAGCACAGTGGGCCAGGGTCAGTTGCCCTCGTTGCTGTGGGCACCAGCATCTCAGGGCCTGCGGGTGCAGAAGGCTGTGGGGAGACAGAGGAAATGGTTAGGGACACAGCAGGGCAGCAGGGGCTCTGGGGGGCTCTGGGGACCACACATGCAAATGATTCTGATCCATGAAAATACTATGCAGCCGGCACACTCAGGATGACACACTGGGGCTTGCACGCTCACACGTGCTCTCACTCCCGAGCACCCTCATGGGCACGCAGGCTCTGGAGACTCAGGGTGTCTGCCCCAGGCTGATGGGGTCTGGCTCTGATTCTCCCACCCTGGGCCTGTGGTGTTGGGAGCCTGGCTTTCTGCATCTGTGCCATGGAGATTCCAGGACTTCAGGGAAGAGAAAGGGGACCCGGAGCCTGCAGCACAGCAGGTGTCCAGCAGTGCCACTGCCAGCCTTCCTCTCCAGCTAGGCCCCAGAAACTGGCCCCGGAGCTGGCCCCTCAGATAGGGAGGGACAGCTCCAGAGGCCTGAGCACCCCGCTTCCCAGTCCCCAAGGAGCCCAGCAGCTCCCAGCTAACCTCCCCTTGCCCCAACAGACCAGTGAGGATGCCAGGGAGTCTGGGGACACTGGCGAGGCCCTCAAAGGTACACGGCACAAACCCCAGGTGGAAGGCCAGGGAGGTAGGGGTCTCCCGGCTCTCCCACTTCCTGGCCGTGTGCCTGGGCAACGCTGCTCCCTCTGCACCTCAGTTACCGCTACCTCTCAGACAAAGTCCTGGATGCCTTCCAGAGCCGTGGCTGAGGGGCTCCCGTCAGATCAGTGTTTCTCAAAGCCTGGGACACACACCTCCGGGCTGCATGAGGACTGAGGCAGTGTGCAGACAGACATTTTTATTTTCATAGGTATGTGTTTATTTTTCTGTGTATTAGGAAAAAACATGACAGGCACATCACAGATGTGATTTCACGGCTGTGTGGCTTTGGGACAAGTGTGGTGATCCACCTTCAGATGTGAGCCAGCGCAATGACAAAGATCAAGAAGCTACAAGTGTAGGTGGGGCCAGAGGTGGCTGCGGGGATGGGCAGGGGGGTGACGGGAAGCTCAGGAGTTGGCATCTGACCCGCTCGCTGCCTCCAAAGACTGAGCCACGCCTGCCCTTCCCTCTCTGTCCGCCATGTGGCACCATCCAGCACAGGCCTGGGTCCCCAGGAGGACTCACAGGGTCGTCCAGTTGGGATGGCTAGGAGGATGGGTGCACAGGGCTCTGAGGAGGTTCCCACAGTGTGGGCCGAAGATGGCAAAGGCCCTAGAGTCCCTTCCAGAGCGGATGTTCCACCAAGTCTTAGATGCTGATGGAATTTCCAGCCACGAGGGAGATGAAGATGGAGGGACTCTGGAAGGGTCTTCCTGCTTCATGGGCTGCAGACTTGTTCTTCAAGATGGAGGGAGAAAGAAGGTGCTGAGCGGGGCCCTGATAACAGACCCACAAAGCTGCAAAACCTGGTAGAGAGGGTAGAGGGTCTGCTCAGCCCCTGATCCACCAGCCCCAAATTCTGCCCCTGTGCCAGTCAGCCCCAGGGGGACCTCCCAACAGCTGCTGGTCCTAAAGGACAGAACAGGACACAGTGGTGCCAGAGCCTGGACATCGCCTCGGCCCTGGATCCCCCAAGCCAGGTCCAGTCAAGCAGGTGTGCTCCCAGTGGCCGCCCGAGCTGGCTCCTGGTAGACAGTGCGCGGCCATCGGGCCCAGGCCAACACAGGCAGCCCCGTCCCTGGAAGGCCTCCAGACCACCTGGCTGGCCGCCCTGTGCCCTGTTCCACCTGAGCCAGCAGGGAAGGCCACCCCCACCGCACCTCTCCAAGCCCCCAGCTGCCATCTCCCAGATAATGAATGGGTCTCCCGCTCCCTCCCCCCAAACCTTCCTGAGCATCACGAGAAGTTGCTATGGAAATGGGACCACAGTCAGAGCATGACAATGATTTGGGGCAGGGGAGGAGACACAGTGGGAGCCAGGCGCTGTCCAGGACACGAGGCCTCCCCATGTGCCGAGTCCCAGGAAGGATGTGAAATCCCAGCTGCCGGCCTCCCAGCCAAGGCAGGTGGAGGGGCCGCAGAAGAGGTGGGGACTTCCAACTGGCCCTCCTGGCTCCTTGCCCCCTCGGCGGAGCCCAGGGAGCTCTGGGAATCTGATGCCTGCGTGTTTGCAGAACGACATGTGCGCAGGAGGATGAGACTTCCGCAGAATCAGCCTCTCAAGGACGCTGCCAAAGTGGGTTCCGGACCAGCGGGGAGGGAGGCTGGGATTCAGTGGGTGCTCAATGAACACTGCCACCACCGAGCAGGCCACGGAGATAGGTGCCTGCTATGGGACACACAGCATAGAATCACAGAGCTTGAGAAGCCTATGCCCATTATACAGATGAGGTCCAATGACAATTGAGGTCACCAGGCTGAACCCAGGTCTCCTCTTTCCCAGACCTGAGCCCCCATCAACAACCCTGGCTTTTCGGTCATTCATCCACCTAATCGTTCACTCAGTTATTCAACTTTAGTCAAATGCCTACAGTGTCCCTGGTGATGGAGATAGAGAGGTGCAAAGGACAGACAGGATATGAGCACAGAGAGGAGATGGTCCATCACGACTGCAGGGACGTTGCCAGAATGGAAATCCAGGGGCCCCAGGAGCAGGCAGGGCTACCTCAGAGTTTTAGGCTATGGAATTCTGAGCCATGCTTCAGAGGGAACCCTGAGTTTCTCTGAATGATCTCTCCACTGCCCCCTGAGCCCCAAACCCCCCACCAGGAGGCCATGGGGGATTATTTCCAATGAGCAACTCACTATAGGGAACGTGGAATGTCACAAAGGCCTATGGGTACCAGAGAAGGACTATTGGGAGGTGGTGGAACATTCGAGGAGTGGGGCCTAATGGCAGATCCTTAGGTCACTGGGGTGTGCTCTCAAAGGGGACTGTGGAACCCCAGTCTCTCTTCTTCCTCTTTTGCATCCTGTCCATGAGTGAAGTGGTTTTGTTCCCACTGTGCGCCTCGACCATGACGTGCTGCCTAACTACAGGCCCAAAGTAACAGGGAATCATGGACTAGAACCCTCAAAACTATGAGTCAAAATGAACCTTTTCTCTCTTTTTTTAATATTTATTTATTTATTTTTTTAGGTGTAGATGGACACAACACACGCCTTTATTTTTATGTGGTGCTGAGGATCGAACCTGGGTCCCGCCCGTGCTAGGCGAGCGCTCTACCGCTGAGCCACAATCCCAGCCCCTGAACCTTTTCTCTTTATAAGTTGATTATCTCAAGTATTTTTGTTATAGTGATGAGACAATAACTAACATATCCCTGCTGTCCCCAGAGACAACGAGGAAAGTGCCTTGCTATACCCAGGAACTCAAAGGTTGGTACACAGCTTCCCTCCCTTCTGCCAAGCTCAGCATGTCCCCATGGTGTTCACTCACTCCGTGCTCATCCTTTCTTCCCTGGGCACCCTCCCATTTGCGGGGCCTCATGCTGGGTCTGGGGTGGGCTAGAAAACAAGTAAACTCAACTGGTTGCCACCCTTATGGAATAAAAGTCTCCTCCTCTCTGCTGCATGCAACTCTGTGTGGGTGGTGTGTGTGTGTGTGTGTGTGTGTGTGTGTGTATGTGTAGGGGATACTGCACTGAAGGAGCAGGAGGGGACTGCTTGCAGACCCTCACTTGTTAGACCCACCAGCTCTGCAGTATCCCACATGGACAAGGCCTCCCGGGATCTATTTGACACAAATGGAAACCAAGATCCTAAGGGGAGGCCAAGTGGACCCCAAAGAGCTCAGAACTGAGAAGACAGGAGTCGGGGAAAACCAGCAAGGCTAGAAGGGAGGGGTCAATTCCAGGACCATGGAAGAGCAGCAAGAAGTCTCGGAAGGCTTCCTGGTGGAGGAGGGACCAGGATCAGTTCAGGGCCTGCTGTCAGCTCTGGCAAGAAATTTCTGTGATAGAGATCCGGGCCAGAGCCTGCCCTGCAGGTCAGTTGACTTGGGGCTAAGCCAGCAGGAGGCATGTTCCCTGGTGGCTGCCATCCTGCCTCTAACCCACTGAGAACTGCCGGCCCACACCCCTGGTTATTGTGCATGATAAGAATCCACCAGGGGAGGGGGCAGAAAACAGGAGAAGCAGAACATACAAGAAACAGAGGCCAGAAGAGAGCCACAGTGGCAGAGACCCCAAAGCCAGATGGATAGAGGGAGAGGCAAAGAGATGAAGATGGATGGACCACGGGGCCATCCCTCCCCCAGAATGAGTTCTGCAGCTGCTGAGGTAGGCAGACGCGCAGCCGGGAACGAGCCTGCAAACCAAGGCTTTGTGAAGATTTTTCAGTAATAAAACTCTTATTTGAAATGAAATCTTATGCAGTGGGGGAAGCCCTTCTATGCCAGACACTAAATCCAGAAGCCGTAAAGCGAAAATTTGACAAATCCGACTACATAAATACGTAAAACATCTGTACGGCAAAAGACACCATAAACCAAGTTAAAATGCAAGTGAAACACTGCAAGAAAATATCACTAATATGCAAAGAGCCCCTACAAATCAATAAGAAAAAAGACAAAAGAGAAAAATTGGCAGTGAATTAGAAATCCGCAGAGGAAGAACTAAATTGGCCAATAAACATATAAAAAGTTATTCTATCTCACTACCAATCAGGCAAATGCAAATGAAAACGACACGATACCATTTTTTGCCCATCAGATTGGGGAAAATTAAAATGATTTATAACAAGCAATGCTGGCAAGGATGAGGGGAAATGAGCACTCATAGACCACTGGAGGGAGGGGGAATTGGCTCCACCGTAAGAAGGGTAATTCGGCAATATTGATTAACATTTTAAACCCACACACCCTACAACCTAGTAAACCCACTTCTAGAAGCCTCTTCTACAGAAAAAAAAAATTGCACAAGCACTCACATATAAATACTCAAGGATGCTCACAGCAGCATTGCTGGGAAGAGTAAAAAAGAAATTGGAAATGGCCTAAGTGTTTATCAATAAGGAAATATTCAAAAAAATACAGAGTGTCCAC